CCAAACAACATCGAATTGTTGGACACATTCAATTAAATCAGCATCACTCATTTTTGTATTTTACAAGAATCGAAAACCATTATTTCGCGCGATTTCGTGCTGCGTCGGACGTCAGACTTACCTCATTGGCCCGGCCTTAGGACATTAGGGACTAAAGTTAAAAGATGGGATCTTTCCAAGATTAAGATTAAGACTAAGATTAAGACTAGGGAAGTATAAACGCCCTTATGGCATTCTACGTTATCAACTCTTAAGATTAAGATTAAGACCGAAGCATAAACCGGCCATAAGTATCTGAAATATTGATAAAATACAAACGAGACAAGGAAGCGATAGCGATACAAAATTGATTGTGGAAGAAATTAATACATTTCCCGCGGAGACTCAAGGAAGTCGTTCCTCCATTTTGCAAATTTATTTCTTGCTTCATCGCAATGTTTCAGCGGGGTGATTGCGTTGCTCGCTTTCTTTCGCGCTTCGGACCATTCACCGGGTATAAATCACGAATATCCGTTTGCGCGGAAATGCGCAGAATTTATGGTTAATTCGATTATACCGCCCTCCCGGGGGCGCGAGATACCCCCGGAGCCCTATTGTTCGCAGATACACCGAACGCGTCTAAGGAAATGCAGAAGTAATGTATATAAGCAGACTGTTTTCGACAGCGAGCGCGCGGATTCATCGTCGCGAGCTACGTTGATAAATAAGTTCGCGGAGCCGCGCCGCCGCTCGTACCATTCTTCGTTTGATTTAAGATCGTGGAAAGTTGTACATTTCTAAAGCGCTCTCATGCTAAATTATTATACTTTGGCTGACCTACTTCGATACCCGTACGTAACCTCGCTTCTCCTTTTCTCGACCGCAACTGCCTCCCGCATTCCCCGATTCGTTAAAACAAGCTTCCGATCGCACAAAAATATATACATATACGCGTGTAACATCGTGCATGTACAAATATATACAATGCGTATCATCATTTTCGAATCATTTATATGCCCATTTAAACTGCTTTCCATTAAAATTTATTTTGTTAATATTTGACAAAAGTACAAGTGTTTTGTTTATCGATAAATATAGTGTGTTTAAACACTCCACATTGATTAGCAAAAACTTTTCCGATAGAAATATTTTTCCACTTTTGTGAAATGAAGAATGCTAATGTTTCATTTCCCGTAGTCACACGCGATCGTGGTTATCGAGTGAACATAAAGAAGGTATAAAACCGCTCTTTGTTAAGTTTCTCCATACATGTTGACGATCCACTTTCCGGAACGAAGTGAAGGACTGTTAAGTATCTCGGTCGAAGCGATCGGACTCTCGCATCGTCCGAAGGATCAAAGTCCTGTCCGCGGCGCGCGACGCGAGAACAATGACGTTCGGAATGGAATTCCAGAACGGAAAGTCCCTGTAATTGGAAATCTCTCTCTTCCTACCCTCTTCCATCCCTCTTTTCTCTCGCCGTTATACACAGCCAATGTGAGGCTGCAGGAACGGCGATCGATAGTTCCTTGACACCCGTGGGAAAATCGGATGCGAGAGAGAGCCCTGCGAGACTCCCGCAGCGAGAAAGGACCCGGCTCGGACAGGAATCTAATACGCGAGAAGGATAAGCACGATGAAAAAGAAGAATTAGTCTGGTTTTATTCCCGGTGAAGACACCGCAGAGACACGACAAAGAGTTTATCCGCGAACTTTTCTTCCGCTATTATCATTCTCATACCCCCTTTCTCTTTCTCTCTCTCTCCTCCCCCCGGTTTTACCTTTACGATTTATAATTAACGTAATTACGGAGTTTTTTTCTCATCACGCATTACACAAATTCCACGTAAATCTGCCTGCGCTGTGAGTGACGGTGAAAAATCGCGGCCGTCCGCGAAAAGCATTCGCGAACGTTGCGCTCTGCTCGAATTAGCCTCTTTGCAGAAAACCGAAATCCGTTAAACGTTTTAATTAACTCGTGGATTTGGAACGATGCGATTTACACCGGTCGGTGAGAAGCCGCGTTTTGCGTCGCCGGCCGCGGCAAAAATACAAAATTATGACGGAATGCTGGGCTTGTGAAATATTTTACCGATTTTTTTCAGAACTAAAGTCCATTGTTCTAAATAAGCTTCGCATCCCCCAAAAAGACATCAAGATTTAATGAATTGATAGACTCATTAGAAATTTTACCACAAACGAGCATACTGTTCAGTAACATTTGATCGATTCGTTGGAACAGAATTAGCAACCGTAGACTACGACTCTAATTGTTAAACTGTCTAATCGAATCGCGGAGTCGGCGCCTAAATCCGTCGTCCTCGAGAATAACATGATTCGCCTGACATAGACGGATCATGTTATTCTCTCTTCATGTCGTCTCTCCTCGTCGTCTTCAAGATCAGACTAAGCAGAGGTAGTGATTTCTTCCGGTCCTACGTAATATCTACATATCGGAAGGTCTTCCTGACGAGAAACTTTGCCGATGGAATTCGTAACGAACCTTCACGTCGTTGCCGTCGTCGTCTTCGTCGACTTCGCGATCGACGACTTACTTCGTTTCGTGTCCCGCTACCGCGAGGTCCTGTCCGCAGGGTAATTAGATTCTGTCGAGTGAGATCAAAGTCTACCGCCATTTCCATCCCTGCGGAAAGCTCCGAAGTTTCTCGGCGCGGTCGTTTTTTTCCTGACGGCAAACTCTCAGAGAGCAGGAACTTTTTCGACGAGATCGCGACGGAAATCTCCTCATGCGGCGGGCGGATATAATCAATAAGTACGGAAAATAGTTGCACGATTGTTTCTGTCATAATGTTTTACGAGATGCGCGAGATCGGGAAACTTGCATATTTTCCCAGTTTTGTACTCCTTTTTTCCATACATCTTCCGTTTCTTAGATAAAAACAATATTGAATAATTATGCATCGTCAAGTCTATTAAAATTGCTGTTCGATGAAAATTAATACTAGTAGTCACATTTGTCTCCATAGAATCGAGAAATATTCTTTAGAAAAATAACGAAACTTTAACGATTATAGTTTATCTCTCCCTCTATAATAGTCTTAATTGCGGATAAGAACAGCGTTTTTGCTCATTCTGTGAACACAGTGAATAAATACGAGAAAAGGCAAAAATCTGAAGAAAACGTGGAAACCGAGAAACATCTCACAAGAGGCAAATACGTTCGATATTGGCGTTTGATACTATAAAATACGTCGAGACGGAGGAGAAAGGAGCCGGGTGAACCGATATCCGAGAGCTCGATGCGCTTTTACACCTTTTTCAAGTGTCTCGAGATAAACGTTGTACGGCGGTGCCGTCGTACATGTCGCGGTCGTCCGTCGTCTGGCGCAGCCGTTTCGCCGACAGGGGGATTCTTGTGTCAGGACGAATTCATAACAGAGTCATAATTGCGGGACGGGTCCCGCAGTATGCATAATCCCGTAGTTAGCAGTTCTGCTTAACGATCCGCGAGAAGCAATCCCGACGTACCTGCCACGGCGCAGGATGGAGGCATCCCGGCCAACCCGTCCCTTATTACCTCCCTCGTCTCGCTCATTCCCTCGCCATCTCCGTAGCGCGGAGACCGTACCTAAACTACACACACACACATACACGTGCGAGAAAACACGTACGTAGGACGCGCGAGGACGCACGTACCGTAGGGTATCGTACGTACGACTGGCGAAACCGTAGAGGGCCTGAGTGTGACGCGACAAAAACCGTGGATAAAGAGCGAAGAGCAAAGAACGAGGGGAGGGGAGGGAGATGGGAACGAGTTGTGCATTCGCGTTGGAAGGAGAGAGAGAGAGAGAGAGAGAGAGAGAGAGAGAGAGAGAGAGAGAGAGAGAGAGAGAGAGAGAGAGGGCGAAAGAGACGAAGCGAACAGGAGAGTTCGTTAATTACAGTCTCTCTGCCTGCCACCGCTCACCGCAGGCGACCGCGAAAAGGATCGAGGAGGGGGGGAGAAGGGCGCTAGGACCCACGGTAATATCGCGTTCGGACAGAAACTGTGCACTGTCAACGTGGATCACGGAAGTTGCAAGAAAGAAGCGGACATTGCCGCTCTTTACGGTGCAGGAAAACTTTACTTGTTTCGTCGAAATAGAAGAGTTTTAACGACCGACCGAGAATGACTTTTCTTGTCTCATAAATTAGTAAAGATATCGAGTGTCTGATGCAACGCGATATCACAAAACGTAAACAAATTTAGTGAAATATAATTGTACGAACAGAATATTTTTAAAAAAATTTTGAAATCATAATTTTTATAACTCGTTCGATGCGTAAATTAAAAATCTGTTGAAGTTCTACAATATTTTAATCGGTGAGAAATTTGGAACAATACAAAAGCATTAAATCGGTCGGAAAGATAAATAGAAGTATAAATGATCGAATTCAAATGAAACAAGTTAATGAGTTCAATTTGCACATCGTATGTTACATGCGCATTTCGTTTTTTGAAAGAGTTTATCTATACAAAGGGCAGAAAAATGGTAGCAGACGACAATAGTCAATTAGAGCAACGCGCGCGATGTCGGGCGGATGTTTTGATTTCATCGGAGATAAATGCGTCAGAGTGTGCGCGAATGAGCGCCACATTTGTCAGCTTCGTTTCATCAGCGGAGATACCATCTCGCGAACGCGACGACGCGAATAACGAAGCGCCTCTAATTCGGCGCCCGTAATTAATTATACACCGTTGTTCCCCGTAGCGCGTGTGCCGAGCGGCGGTTCGAAAAATTTGTCATAACTCGCGCTGACACGTCCGTGAAACGCTTCCCGTCCGCGTATTCATTATTGCAACACGTGTAACGCGTCGTAATCATAGTTCGACTCAACCACTCCTGCGATTATTTCGGTTCACGTGGTTTGTCGCAACTGACTGTTGGATTACTTCCGCACCAGTGGCGGGTCTCGACCGACTAATTTATCGACAGATCCAATCCACGTCGGCGTCAGATCAGCTACTATCGTTGCTGCTACTACTACTATCACGACTGACATTACATCAATTCACTCACCCGTGTGCGTCCTTTGATGGGCTTTGAGATGCGAGCTCTTGGTGTACACCTTCTTGCATCCGGGGAATTGGCATTTGTGTATTCTGCGCTTCGTGTCGGGCGGACTGTGCTCGTTGCTCCTCGCGTGGTGCCTGTTGGCCACGGTGTTCCCGGCCGCAGGTGCGCCCGCGTGTGCGTGTTGCGTGCTGGCGACCGCGGGGAAGCCGTTCGCCGTGACGGAGATCAGTCTGCAAAAACGCGATTTTCTTCCTCTCATTGGCCGCATTAGCCTCGTTATAATTAGTCGGTTGCGCGCCGTCGAAGCGCGACGGACACGCCGGGCACCGTTTCATCCGTGAAACGGGCCGCGTGTGTGTGTCACGGTTCACCGTCCCGACAAGTTTTTCACGCGCGCAAGACAGCTAGGTGGTGTGATCGCATGAATGGCGAGCGATCGGCGCACGTTTCGCGCTTTGAAAGAAATAGCGAGCGAATCGTGAAGAGCGCAATTCCGGTGACGGGTTAATGATAGATCGCGAGAGCGAATTGTTTTAGGTTTCTTGCACGAAGCAGCGGGGAGTTTACGACGAGTTCAGAAGCTACATCCCGACAATGTCGACTTTTTTTAACAAGCCCGTGTCTTTATTTTTTTTCGCGAATTCCGTAGAAAATTGCCGGGAACGAATTGGATGAGATAAACCGAGCCGGAAAGTACGGCCACTTTGTGTCGGAGAACTCCAGTTACCGTTAATCAAGATAATTTCCGAGCGAGACGGCACATCCGTCTTTCGTAGGGCAAGTATCGCGTTAGCCATTGCCTCTTTCAATTCCAAAGGCAATTAAGTCTTCATCAGACAAGAATAGCAGTAACGAGAGAACGTCAAAGAGGAATCGCTGACCCGTAAGAAGCGGACCGCTTCTTCCGCTGATCTTCATCGCGCATCAACGCGTGGCGTACGCGTGATCGTTCGCTCGGCAAATAGGTACGCGAAATTTTACGACACTCACCTTGCGACACCTTGCACATTGCCAGTGGTAACCCTGACAATGGCGCTCCTGCCGCCTGTGCCGTGAAGGTTGAGGTTGTGCACGTCGAGCGTTGAACTCCCGCTCGACGAGTGACTGGAGTTGGAATGACCTTGACCCGACCCAGGACTCGACGGTGGCGTAAGAATTTGACCTTCGCTTTCGCACCCACTATCTTCTTCCTCCTCGATCTCCTGCAGCGGCAAAATCGCACGCATTATGTAACGATAACGGGATCGATGCGCGGTCCGTGGCTGGAAATCGTATTGAACCTTGATGGATCGCAACGCAAACAAATAAACCGCGGCGAGAGTCGAGTGAAGTGATCTCGCGAGCTCGTATATACAGCTTCGTTGTGCCAATGCAACACCACGCGTTATATTGAATCATCAATAAAAATTCGCCATTTTGAAATGCTTGAAAGTTTTGGTTTTTGTAAAAAAAATTAATATTGATTTAACTTCAAATAATATAATTTAAATAAATCGATACAGCAATAATTTTCTGGAATAATCAAATTAAATAATTTTTAAATTGAAAGACTCCGCTAGATTTATCGAATATTTCATTAAATAAAACAAAAATATGTCTCTATTTTGAATAAATATTTATTCACGATAATTCACTTTCTGATTGGACGAAAATTTTTAAAGCTACCGTTAGTTGTAAAGGAAATATAAGTCAAAATCGGCAAGAATGTGCAACTTACTTCATGTTCCTCATCCTCTTCAAGATCCTCGCTTGGTTCCTTTTTGAGAATGAGTGCCGTGCAGGAAAGGGATGGTGAGCTGTCCCAAGACAGCGCCGAACACGCCGAACTTGCCGAGGACATCGACAAGGTATCGAGGTGACGGTCGAGGAGATCCCTATCGCGACCATTATCATTATGATCGCCGGGACTGAATTTGATGTCGTCCAAACAAAGGGGATCCCTCTCGTCTGACGACGTCGTCACCTAATTTGCAAAGGAAAAACAGTCTTGGCTTCTTAACACGCTCGTAAGATTGAAAAATGAATTGTGTTGAGATGTATAGAAAGAGAGAATAAAAAAAAAATATATATAGAGCGACGATATAAAAATGACGTTTAAGTTTGAACGAAAAGATTTGAAGATAATTTGTTGATAGCAAGATTAATTATCTGTAAACAATGCCTAGTTACATACCTCCATTTTGATTGGGGCGTCGAATTGTGCGCTCGTTCCGGTGGACGTTGTCCACGTGATCGATGGCGCCCTGAAGAGGTTCCAGGGCGCTGTGTCCAGTTCTGTGGGGAGTTTTTTGTACGATTGCAGCTTCGGCTCGTCCTTCAGGTACCTCTCCATCTCGTAGCATGTCTGAAAGAAGAGACAAGAGGGCTTGTTAGGAGTCTGAAGCGACTTAAATATCTCGCCGGCACTCACGATGAAGCGACGATAATAGGCGCTACTGTGGTTTAAATTTGACGGCCGCGAAAGAAGAAAATAGATCGGATGATATATATCGCTTCAACAGATAATGAGACAATTTTTTCAAATTTCCGCGTAGAACACTTTGCACTACGTAAATTTGCAGAAATTTTACAGAGTCATAAAAATATCGTTACAGATTTTTTTCTAGGATGATGTAATCTGACAAGTTTATATAAATCGCTGAAACGTTGAAATTTTCACACAATGCCGTTTTATCGAAATGTTACACCCAAAAATAATAAACGTGGAAAAGCCGCGGGCGAGTTACAAACTGTGCAATACAGAATCAAAACACGAAACATTCTTGTAATATCTCTGACCTGCTCGCAAAGCAACAAGCACCCGCGGCGATCGCGGGTCCGCAGATGCTGCGGGAATTATCTATAGAAGCCAAGCATCTCATATGTGGAAAGTGCATTGCCGTCAACGCAACTACTCGCGAGTTTGCAAAGTTGACGCTCTCCCGTAGGCTGTGCCAGTTTGGTACAGTTCCTTGGAGAGAGAGTACAAAGTTATGCTACTCACTGTGAGGAATTATGCACCAACTATACCCCCACAAATGAGATTATAGCACCCCATTCTGGCTAAGTCTTCTCCGGGTCCCCCGGCTTGTCGGTCTTTCCTTTGAACGCGCGGCGAATAATCGTCAAATAATGACTGCGCCAAATTTCGATTATGAGAAGTGTCATGTGCGCAAGTTTTAAGCACTCTAGTAACGCGTAATGCGAAATAATCTGCCTCTACAAGAATTCTATTTGTGTAAAAATCGATAAAGACCGTCTCTCTCTCTCTCTCCGCTTCAATATTGCAATATTGTTTCACATTGTTTTTATTTAATTTAATGAAATTTTTCATAATTATTTATTACACTCAAAGAAGGGAAAAAATACAACTATTACACAAAAACAGAAAATATTGAAAAATATCTTATGTTTAATATATAAAAATTTTTATTTTTATATTTTTTTATCTTTTTTAATAATATGTAAATAATTTCAATTTTTTATTTTTCAACTTTTTCCTGTAGTTTTTTCAATATCCAGTATACTATTTGTGCAGTTAATAATATCTATTTATTTCTGCGATTCGCTTCGTAATGTATTATTTTTCTGTTATTATTGCTGTTTATCTCGACACTGCGGTATCGCTATCGAGATCTGTTTTTTAGCAAGTTTCCGCGATCATCGGAAATGATACTAATTATTGGAAATGGTGCGATATTCTGCGAAAGTGAATTATGCCGGCGTCGAACAGCCATATTATTCTTCTTTCCGCCTGCGAGCTACAGATGATAGCTACAGATGATAGCTGACGCAAGCATTCTTTGTGCAATTCGGTATCTTCCTTCGGGCATTGTCTGCCAATTTATTATTCGCCCTAACGGTTACCATCACGAGCGACGTTTTGTCTGCTGCCGTTACAAATAAAGCTATTCGCCTTCTATAAAGCTACTTTAAGAACTTTTGTTATATGCCGACACTGATAGCGATATAATATAGTGTATTGAGAAATATGTTCCTAATGTCATAATATTCATGTTTCAATAAACAATCACTTTATAGCAATTATTCAAATTACGGTATACAATCATTCCTTTTTTAAGAATCGAATATTAACAATAAAGCGTTTACAGTCTGTAAAAGTAAAAGTGGCAATTTAAAATAATGCCCTAAGGAAACCACCGTTTGTACCAAACGAATCAAGTTTTAAGAGCGCAGTCATAAAATTAAAAGCGACGGCTCGGTCATCTTTAATATCGTCATTTAGGGAAAAAGTACGTTTAAAATCAAACAACGAGGAAGAAGTCAAGTCTATTTTCCCGTCTGACAAAAATTCTTCGGCAACTGAAAAAAATGGCTCCGCCGAAGTTCGAGGGCTGCATCTAATGCCGGCGGTCCCTTCTGCGAGAAAAATAATCGCCGCCGGGCTCTTTCATTATTCACGATTAAAGTTCGTCCAGGGGCACCGTGGGTACGACTAACGGCGTTAATATAACTTGGAAAGGAATTTTATCACTCGCTTAGGGACCGTTTCTCCGGGGCTTGCTCCGGCATCAACTGAACTTTACTAATCCTGACCTCCGAAGCGCAGCTTCTATGTAGACGCGGGCGATCTATCCCGTCAAGCTAATCTATCCGAAAATTTTCGAAAGAGAAAAGCAACGTTAGTCGTTGCAAGTAAAACGATATTAACGCGATATTAAAGCCGCACGATATTCGATTAACTTCGCAAAGAGCATGAATATTTAATATTTCAGCAATTAAAAATAAGATAATTTGAAAATATTAATATAACGCGAGCGAGGGAATAAAACAAAGAGAAAATAATTGATAAAAAAAATACATAATTTCGTTAACGTCTCGTTACGTCGCTGTCGATAACCTGTCGCTGCTAATTTTGAACGATTTTACAGCACGAAAATTTGTATTGCGAATGCATTTACGAGACTACCGTACGGCTCGCGTTTTGGGGAAAGTAGAGGGAGGGTGAATTTTCGGTAGTTTCCAGATTATTCCAGGGAAGGTAAATTGGTTGGCGGAAGATATTTTGATTTCCTTTTGTTTCCCCGCGCTGTGTAACTGCGGCCTCTCGCTACCGTTACGCTGCGCGAAGGAATTGCTGGGAAAAATACCGCGAGCTTTCCGGTTAAGCGTATAGTCGCGGCTTTACGACTTCGCGGAGTCGAGCCAAAGCGTCCTTTCACCGTTTGCTTCCGCGTTAAATTCAAAATTGCGTAATAATTTACAATTTCACAACGGGATCTGCCTGTCCGTCGCGGTCAATCGCAGCGGGCGTATTAACGTTTTCCGTTGAACCGCGCCGTAAGCATCTGAATTGCGAAATTTCCCATTGCTCTTTTTCGCGATGAGATCAAAAGTCATTCGCTCATTCGTACAAATGAATTTATAGAATCGTCCGCCACGCTCCTCGTCACGCCGTGGAATTTTGCCAGCGAATTTATACGGTTTAAGAGCTTGTTCTTTTATTTCGCGACTGTCTCCGACACGAGATCACCCCGTTGCTCCATCTTGTCATACACACAAGCACGTTTTCCATTAATATAATTTAATTATTCGACGCTGCGACAGCCGAGCGTATATGTGTGTTGTTTGATATCGAGAAGCAAGTGTAGATGATCCCAAAGTTATGTCACCAATTTCTTCGGGCGAGACCAGATAATATTTCTCCCGCGGGACCTAAGCAAACACTCCAGGGAGTGCGAATTTTTTTACGATGTTTACTTTCTTTTAGCTGACGAAGGGATCGCTGGGAGGGCAATAAAAAAATTCCGCGGATCGATAGGCCGAACGCTCGATGAAAAAGGACGGTGAGAGGAGACCGTCCCGCCATTATGTTCTTATAGGTAAACCAGTGAGCCATTCGCAGCGGATTTATGAGGTTCCAGCAATTCCACTGCACCGCGGCATCCGTGGAAAACATTCTCACTTTTCGAACATCAAGCATCATGCCAGATATTAAAGCGCGATTATTCAGATATTTTAAGCGCGATTCGCAGAATTTGCAATCTTATATGCATTATCTCAGAGCTCTAACAAATATCCAAGTCATAAATATCGCCGTATAAAAAGATAATGTTTGCTTTGTTTAAATTTATTAAAGTTTAATCATTTAAAATAATTACATCTCGCGTATTACAATTATATGCATATTAAAAACGATATAATTATAATACAAATTATACAATTCTCATCGAAATAGCCGTTAATAGAAGTCCGGTTGTAGCATAAATATATTTATTATTATGCTAGTAATTTAAACTCGATGGAAAATATTAAATTTCATACTACGCTCAAACGTTAAAGAGTGATATTGAAAGAAAATGTTGGTGCGCGAAACTGCTATGGCTTCGCTGGAAACACAATTCGATTTTCTGACGACCTACGTACAATTACGTTTCATTCGGTATCGCTTAATGTTGTGATATCAAAGAACATTTGTGGATTTTTACTTGCCGCGGAACCGCCGGAACTCTCTGGATTCGACCAACGAGGTCGTATCTGGAAGAGAGAACATCTTCGTCGGACGAGCGTGGAAACAGTTCGGAGATAATGGTCACTCCCTACGACCGATAAGACTGTTCTTAATGATAACGGCGTCATTTCGGAATTCGCATGGGATAGAACTCGATTCGTCGGTGGACTATCGCATCGGACAAACAGAAAGAAGGAAAGAAAGGGGGGGGGGGAAAGAGAGAAAGGAAAATCGACTAGATTATTGTCATCCCATTGAGTGGAGGGAGAAATCTGAAGAGAACTGAACGGACAAAGAGGACATTGAGAGCCTTCATCCTAGATTCTCAAAATCTCTTATCGTGGGCCGCTCGTAGATTCCCAAAAAAGCCGGACTCTTCTCTCCAGAATCCACCCCCTCCCCCAAATGTAGTTTACGTAAACTTAAATCCAGCGTTATTCACTTCGTGGAGACGCTTCGACGGTAACGAGGCCCGGGACCCGCTGGAGCTGGCGGTAACAGTAAAATAAAGCGTTCTCGAGAAGCCGTGCGTTTGAAGCGGCCAAAGACTCGAGAACGCAGCTGGCGAAGGAGTTGGCGGTAGAAAATATTATGAGAGGAGAGAAGAGTGACGGGCGGAAAAGAGGAACCCTCTCTCTCTCGAGGAGGAGGAGGATTATCTTCCGTCCGTCGGTGGAATTTCGCGCGGCGGACTCACCTTTTCCTTCCCTCCCCCTCGCGCGTTTTTCAGTCCGCGCCACGCGCACCATCGCCGCGGACGTGAAGTTTCGCAGTAATTCCACGGGATCTGTCATTAACAGAGTCTGCGCGGTTCGCTCGAGAGCGAATGAATGATAACCGGAGTTCTCTCGCGGCCGCTACTCGTTCGAGCTCGCGCGCACATGAGCGAGCGA